GATTGTACTCGTCTCGTCGTGGCTGTCGTCTCGTCGCCGTCGTCGCTGCCGTCTTCGCTTGACATTGCGCTGCCAGACAGTTGTTGGCTGTATCCGTCAGCGCCGATAATGTTAGACGGCTCGCGTTGTGTACAGGCGAGGCGAAGCGACTTTGGAGAGTGTGCAGGCGAACCGTGAATGTCATAAATAAAAGAAGGTGCCTCCTACAAACGTCGTCTCCGAATCACTGACACTACTCATACACAGTTTACATGTATCATGTGTCATGTTATTTTGATGATGAATAAAGGTTTGTGCTTTTCAGCAATACAGCTTTACTTATTTCCATCCACATGTTTGCTGCCACTAATGATCTATATCTTCAGGCTGTCACTGATGTTCTTAAATATTACACAAAGATGCCAAATCCTTTAATTCCAAAACGCACTGAGATAAACAACTATGTTTCTGAAAATAAAGCCTTGATAACAATCGCACTCGCTTGGGAAAAATATACAATTTTATTTCCCATTTCCATACATGTTAAGTTTCTTCTGCAGAGAGATGCTCCTATATTCGGTTTATGTGTGCATATATATAGCGTCCACATATGGCCTTCAAATATAACGTTTATAACAAACAAACAATCTTTGGACTTCTATTTGCGATACGTGAACATTCAAAATTGCTCTCATGCGCAGTTCTTTACTTGAAATCTAAGCATTTCCATTAGGGGCGACAGAAAAAAAAGGTGAGAGAAAGTGCGACTCGCATAATGGTGGCTCGCTGCGCGGGGGGGTGGGGGATGATCAGTGCCAGGCGTGCCGAGCATAAAGGCAGCAATGTGCATGCGCTCAGCGCAACGAGCATAGGCATACTGCCACTGCAATGACAGCAATTATCAGTTTAAAATGAGAAGAAGAAGAAGAAGAAAAAGAACATCTTCGCAACCAGTAATTAAAACTTGGCGTGCTTCTGAAAATGTGCGCAGGTCACATCAGATCATGTTTAAGATTTTTGAGATTCACTTTAAAATGTCAAAGACTTCAACGTAAAATCTAAAGAAACGTACTGACGGCCAACGATTGTCTCGTCAGCAAATGAGACATTGGCATGGACCCTCTCTGTTCGACATGGGTCCTAGTTCAAAGCGAAATTATTTGATACATTACACGAAATACGGTAATCACGAGTGTCAGTGTGGAGAATGACAAACCAAATAAGCTGCCAACTCACCTCCATCCCACATCTATTTTTCCTCGTATGAAGCGTTTTTTTGCACACATTTAATCAGCTCTACACGGCCATATATTGTAGCATTAGTTCAATATTACCATAATCCGGACCGATTTTGAATTTCAGTGTCTTGTCATTTGCAGACGTTATTATTGTTGGAATTGGTTGACAGATAATGGGCCTCAGATTGTAGAAGTTGGAATTCCACATGTATGGTGCACAGAGGCAGACGTTGCTGCGTTGAGCATTGGTGACTATGCTGTACTGATGAGTCCCAATAAGGACGAAACGCGTCTACAGCCGTCTTTGTCTCACCGATGCCTGTCAGCGAGTCACATTTGCTCAAACATATTTTTATGTTGATCGTAGACAAGAGGACAACAGTGCAGTCCTTCATGCTGATGGTTTTTGCTTCGTGTATACATTTCTGCTTGTTCGTTTGAAACGTATGGTTTTACGGCCTGCACGTTTTATTTTGTGATGGGGTGGTTTTCTCATTATTTACAGATACGACTCACATTTATTCAAAAACATCTGGCCAGTGTGGACTAGTTGGTCAAAAATATCATGTTTGGAGCTCCCTCTAGTTTAGACCTTTCAACTAACATGAGCTGTGAGCTCATATATACAGAAATAATCGTATTCTTTGGGTCTTTCGGTAAAGCCACGTTGAAAGACCCAAAGAATATTAATTCCTGCAGTCACGAATGCTTGAAGTCAAGATAAATAGTCGTGTTGACCAAACATCTAAATTCACGATCCTCCTAAAAAAAGAGTCTTACAAAGGATGCATCTCGTCTCAACTTGCCAACAAAAAATTCACCGTGAACATTTTTGCTCGCGAGACGGTGTAAAGTGACACAAAAAGCAACGCGACGACTCTTGGCAGATCCTCGTGCGCTCTCCCCATTGCGTACATGTCATGCACCTTCAACTTGGACGATGTCTTTACGGATGGATAACGATTGTATTTGTTTTACCCCTTGATGGGCTTCATTGTGACAAGGTCTGCAGTGCCCCTTGTCCATTTGTCGGAATGCGGTGCTCTCGTCTCGCATCACAATTGTCGCGTCCTGTCAAAGCACCGTGTGCACTGGCAGTCGGCCTGCGTCAATCGTGTTGCAACTGAGACACTCAGATGTGCATCGAAACCCTCTTGTCTGTAACAGTAACCTACATTTTTCGACGAAGTAGCTTGCTTTTAGATAATAGTTATCGTGCACTTTGGGTTGCATCTTCAATAATAGCACACGGACCTGCAATGCAGAGGTCACCCACCGGTTTGATCGTCGAGCTGCAACAGTGGCACAGGTTTCTTCATCTCAACGCCTCTGTCCCACCCAGCAGTATGCATGGGTGCACAACAGATCGTCAGGTCGTGTGTGGTGGAGTGAAGTGTGAGTTACTCCCACCTCTTCCAAGACTTCTGGCCAGCGTAGAAGAGTAGGCCAAATATCCTCCAGAGGGGACTCGCTAAGCGCTCTCTCTCGTGGAGAGGCCCTTCTTCCAGCAGTGGACGTGAGCAAGACATTGCGCAGTTAAAATCTTACCGATTGTTTTAACAACCGTGTATATTCACATCATCCTCCTCATCGTCATCAAACATCGTCTATCCAAATTTCGATTTAAAGCTTTCGTGACTGCAGGGATTCATCTTCTTGGTCCTTTCGGTAAAGTCACGTAGAATGGAAATAATAAAAAATAAAATAATAAAAATAAAACATACTAAAATAATTCTCACGACGTTTCGGCCACAACGCAAGCAGCTGCTTGCGCTGTGGCCGAAACGTCTTTACCGAAAGAACCAAGAAGATCGTCTATCCACTGCTTGATGCAGGCACCCCCACGGTCTCACCGACCCTCTTGGTCCTGCGATGCCACAATACGTCTCGCTCGCTCAAATTAACTGATCTCGTCGCTTCATTCCCATCGGTGGTCATGCCCTTGGGTGCATTCACCCCTTCGGCTGCAGTTCCACAATTTGTTTCCAATTTTTATCAAATCAATATCACTGTGCACTGTTTAATCCCCCCCCCCCCAATAAACCGAGGGATCGTACCGCTGTAAACAGTATCATAATGTAAGACATCCATCGGCAATGGGTGGGTGACCTGCAGCCAGTGGGGAACATTCTACATTCCCATGGCAAGGACCAGAATAAATCAGACCCACTAAGAGATACTCACCCTAAGGACTTAGTAGGTTGAGCCGACTCCCTGACCTTGATTTGAATCTGCAATATCCTGATTGTATACCAAGTGCTCCTAACCACTGTCCCAGTATATAACAGAGTATACATCTATTCTGCATACCCGGACTTGTATATTAATTAGTTTTGATTATCGTTATCCATTTTCCTTTAAAGAAACATATGCTTGTGTTGCCCTCTGTTGCCTTAACTCTGTAAATACGCTGCAAGAACATGCACACACGGAGTATCATTGCAACTGCATTATTAAACGCCTCTTCTCAACTCCAGGCTCCAACCGAAGCATTTACTGGGATTAATATTTAACCGCAGCATCTCAAGTAACTTTGCATTCTTACTCCCACACAGCGCATTTTTATCTTTCATTCCACGCATTCTCTGTACGCTCACAAACGTAATCGGGCAGGTTAAGCCACAACAATGCCGTGATCAGTAACATACACCACAGAACGATTGGTTGTCTGTTTTAAGAAAAGAAAATTAAATGTTATTGATGTGGAATGAGGAAAAGCAGTCGAGTTTAATTAAAGATAACTTGTTCCTCTGCAGATTTTTTTTTACAGAACTAATTGTGGGTCATGGGTGGTGTGTCAGTCAATGCAATCTGCGTGTGTGAAGGAGGCAGGCTGTGCATGTTAAATACAGCTCACGAGAGGATGGGAAAATGTGGCTACCGACATGAAATACAAGACAAAGGTTTCCTTTTAATTGCCTTGGCAGACCTTTGTGGCAAGTGCAGTTAGCGAGCACCTTTGAATGCCAGCATGGCACACGAGATGGTGGGCGGTCAGTACCACCTTTGTCTCCTGAGTGGCGATGTTTACACACCGCACAAGGTACTCATTTAAGGCTGAGTCGACCTGGGGGAGGCCCAGGACTGGTTGAAATAAACGTCGCTGATGTTGGTGGCTGTAAGCAGGAATTAAACTTGTGTCACGGGGTTCATAGCGCAGCGCGCTGACCACCGCGTGACCACTCCACACATATGAAATACACACGCAGACAAAGTATAAATCTATTGAAGGTTAAGAATGTAATGCAATAACACATATTATAGTTACAATGATAATGTAGAATCCTTTGTCAATCCACTGCTAGATAAAAACCTGGTTATGGGAGGTTATGTGACCATACTTCACCACTGGTCATTGCAGATGTATGAAGGGAGATGGAGCAGGACTGCAGGAGAGGTTCAGAAACCACTCGCCACAGATGTTAGCCATGGTCAGGAATCGAAATAACATTATGAGGTCCGCAACGAAGTATGCTAAACACTGCACCACTGCTTCCCTCAGAACAAAATAAAATAACTGTAGCATAGACGAACTATGGTATGAAAATTTGTATTTTTTTACAATGTTATCTTATTCTTTTTAAGTAATACTGACATTTTTCCTCAAAAGGGCATGTCAAAGACACATCTTTGTAATTTCTCTTAGCGACAATGCGGGTAGTTACCACTGGTACAGCAAATCCCATGCTTACGCGGTCACGTGCTTGCAAAATCCTCGTTAAACTTATAATCGCATTACATTGGGACATTTAAATGGGCACTGCACTGAAACCTCGGGGGTTTGTCGGATGAATGCGACGGCCGCTTCTGGCAGGCCCGTGTTGTTTGTGACAGCGATGAAAAGAACACAACAGGTGACTTGCTCAAGACCGCATGATGGCACAGTAAGTCTCTTTACTATTTGCACATAGGGCTGTATACATAATCCAGTCTTATTTAATCGTTTTGGATGTTTTTGCACAACTGTGATACTGAGTACAATGTATTCAAATACGGGTCTTTTTTGGGTGAACGTTCAATATGATTTTTATATGTCAAAATGATCCCCTTTCAATTTGGAACTTTTGCCATTAAATTGTTCTTCCTCTTAGACAAAAGACTGATAATTGCATGGGGGTCAGCTGCTTGGCCATTCTGCATGCGTGTACTTACAGTCTCTGCCTCTTTGCTTGTCTCAACCCCAGCCCCCTGTATCTCTGGCCTTAAATTGTTGACCTATTGTAATGCATGTATATTGGGATTTTTATATTCAACTAGAAAGATAAGAAGTAAAATTACATTAGGGAAAACATGCATTTTTTTTGTATTGTTGGTCTTGTTTAATGTATTGTATCTTATTTTCGAATGTAACATTTAATATAGTTTGGTATCTAGTCGTGTAAATAGCTTAACAAACATCATTTAGCGTTCCCTATTTTTTGAGGATTGAGTTAGTACCTTCCATGCCACATGATCTACAAAAAAACTTTGATGCAGACGCTTAGTCAATGATTTTTATTAAGTGTGAAAGACATCGATTACAAATATATGTTGGATCTGTAAACCCACTGTTCTGTCTTTCTTTTACATAGCCGCGGAAGCTTAAGTAGACTTTACATTTGTAACATTGACACTTTAATTTGCATCTACAGCGAGATAAAAAAAATGCTTCAGAGGTGCAGGAAATCACAGACAAGCGGGAAGGCAGCCAGGACGAGCGCCAATAATTGCCCAAGCTCTGCAGGTCCTATATTGGGATGTTTGTACAAACTGGGAAGGCATTGGTTCTCTTGGATCATATGTTCTATGCCCAGCGCTTGACTTTTGCAGTTGCTGTACAAAATGCATAAAAAAGGAATCTATTACCTGCATTGCAAAGACAACATCATTATACACAATCCTGTTTCCTTATTTACTCCAGGTATCTCATTAGAGACTTACTGAGGTCAGGCACAATATAATCAAGGACTGGGCGGTTGCGTTCCATGCAGAAGTCAATACCTCTTCCTACAGCCCAGTGCATAACCTGATGTGTGGAGGGTTTATTGGGCACTGCACCTCCGATTAGCACGGTGGGCCACATACCATGCGAAAAAAGTTCAACACGCACAAGGCACTGTTATGGACTAGGTGGTATAAGTAAAACATTGAATTTATTTAGATACCACTAGAGCACATATGGTAATAGTTTCAATATATAACAATAATTTCTAAGTAAAAATATTTTCAAACATTTCATCATAAGCTTAAGTGACTCCGCTTGCACTGGTGCACAAATCAAAACCACCCACCATGTTTTTGTCATTAATTATTCTTTATAATAGAATACAGATACAGATGTCTACGGTAATATGGCAGTGTTCATGATGAAATCTTTAGTGTGGATATGAAGGTGCATCATTTTGGGTCAAGTAGCCCGTGTTACGCATCATCTTAGACATGGTAAACCTACCTCCTGTACAAGTTGGCAGTAGAGAAAATAGGTTGCTGATCCATTTACCGCATATGGAATTGTGAGCGATATTTTTATAGCGTAAGCCTTACATGCAGGATAAATATACACCACAGTGAGTTGATCAGCAGGTCGTGTGCGGTGGGGTAAAGTGTGGGTACCGCCACATCTTCCAAGACGTCCGGTAAGAGTGGGCGAGGTAGGCCACGTTCTGCATCACCGACAGGGCTTGGAGATCATTCCGCCAGCAGACACTGCAGGGCTGCACCTTTGCCTTGTGTTACATACAAACATGAATTGTATTAATTAATTGGATTCGGGTTCGCTAGTTTCCTTGTGCAAATAACGAAACGCTCAATATCAATTTGGCTTAAAATCCCAAATAAATCCCTCCTGTAAAAAAAAGCATCGAAACTAAAGAGGCTTTTCTGTATGAATTCAAGTCTCATACTGTTTTTGTTTGCTTGACGATGGTGATAAGTAGGTCGTTTTCAACATCGAGCCTGTTGTTGTGTCTGCGGATTTACAAGCATTCGCTTGACTGGAACCACGATGCGCTCTGTAAGCGAATGCTGTGGCTTCCCACGCATCAAGATGAACCTTGCCGTTTGGCTCATTACCACGGAAGCTTTACACGGCTGTAACATCATTCAAATGCTGCAGGCATTTCGTCAAGAGTACCAGAGGAATACTGGCTAACAAGCTAAAGATTGTGCTGTTGCCAATTCCTGATTTATTATTTCGTGGATAAAAAAAAACCATAATGGCAACAACGAATACGAAAGTATCCATGAAATAACTACAAAGAACATGCAACGTACCTTTGAACCCCCAATACATTTCTACCCAATTATGTATTAATATTGCGTATAAAGTGACATTCTTTCCCGATATTGTTGGTTACTGTGCTTCTTTTGTATTATTTGTTATAATGAATGACACTTGGTAGCATCCAGAAAAAATAGCTGGCAGTGTGAAGCAAAGCTTTAAAAACATACAAATATAATCTTAAGCAGGGGGATTCACTGTAAGCTTGGATGAAGCAAGCTCACATCCACGTACTAAATATCACCTTTGTCCACGACTGTACAAAAATTTAAGAGCTGAGTGGATGGACACTTTATTTTCAAACAGAGGTCGTGACCGTTTTTTAAATTAAATTTGTAAAACACAACAATATACAAATGGTAAGGTGAAGGTACAGCCCTGACATTTCTTGCTCACATCTTTGCTGCAAGAAGGGCCTACATTAAAATTAGGTCTACATGGCCCCTCTAGATGCTGTGTATTTATAATAGGGAGCGTGAGCCTTATTACAATCCTTATTTACAATAAGGACTATGGCTAAAATTAGCTAAAAATTGTGGTCGTGCATAATTCAATAACAAGAACCAATTCCAATCATTAAACGTACTGAGAAAAACGTACCACCGTCATAAATATATGAGATCAATTTCTGTTGAGGGGTTGAATCAGCCCATCATTGTTGTTGGGTTGATAAAATATCTACCACTTCTGTAGGATGTCATCATTGGTCATTCTGTAAAATCATTGGCCTCCACAATGTGGAATTTCCACAATTGTCTCAGGGCCACCAACAAAGATTAAGGCTACATCAATATTTTGAGTGACGAGACAATTTTTACTTTTGACTTGGTTTATGAAGTAAGTATTCAATGGGTAACAGGTTGCTTGGAAATAATAATAGCATGCATTTAATCTTCTGTCACCGAGTGGAAAAAAAAACACCTCAACATATTGGTTGATTGCTCTTCCTCAAAAGAATGTGAAGGTCATTGAGCAGCAACAACGAAATCACGTCATTTGAATCTCCTAAATTCTTACTATTGGTCATTATCTGAGGGAAATAAATGACCTAAATATAATGTAAAAAACATTTCACTTAATAGATATTAATAAAAAAAACAGCACAAAATAAACACCAGCAAAACGATTGCAAAATACTTTGTACACAATACTTAATCATAAACCATTTAAATCAGACTAAATTAGACATCGTGAACCAACAGTTAAACACCTTGGTAAGTAGTGGTGTTATTTAAAAATGCTTAAAACTTTGTTCGTGGTGTTGGCTGCTTGTGTTGATTATGTTGGCATCTCGAGCCAAGCTTCTTGGCAAATGTGACTGGAACTTTGAAAAGTTTTTTGGAGGAGACACGTGGCTCTGCCATAATGGGGGCTGACTTGGCTTGCAATAATGGCGATGATGGCCAAATGAAATGAAGATGACAAGCTTTATTGATGTTGCTCTCAGAAAAAATGCTCCCTTCATTTAATCGTTGGTTCTCGCTAAAAAAAAATCACTTTAAAATTTGAAGCAGCCTGTTTCCTTTTCGCACATTTTAAACGTATGTGTGCGTGCATGCCTGTGCATGTTAGCGAGTGGTGGAGTGAATGAGGCGACTGGATGCAAGTGTGCAATGATAATAATAACCTTCAACTTGTGTGATTTTGTTTCAGAAAGAAATGCCTAGAGCGTCCCAAATGAATGAAGACGCCTTATTGTCCTTACCGAACCCTAAACAAAAGCCCCCTTTTACCGTCACAGCTGCAAAGAAATCCCAAACCGAAAGAAGCAATCAGGAGGACTGCAGATGTTTATCAAAGCGAAATCTTGTGCCGCCCCCAATTGTTACAATAACAGAGACTATTGACAGACCTGACATTGAAAAGCCTATCAGGAAGGAGAAAGACCACAGTGATGAGAAGTTTATACGAAAGCCCTTAAAGCTGGCTCCACTGGACCTCCCAGACGACGTGAAAAAGTCCCAGCTTGAAAAAATTGCTGTCGGATACAAGGTCGACGTTTCTCGACCGGGGAATCACATGCCCGGGAGCGACTTGTCAAAAGCATTCCATGCACAGCGAAGGACTCTGGCTCCATTAGTTTTGGACACGATGGAAGAAATGAAACGTAAGGAAAAGGCCTTGTTGGTTGTCCCAAAGGAAGAGACGATTTTTCAAAACAAGCGCTGCCTCGGCGCCGAATTGATGCCAGCGAGCAAAAGTCACTTTCTCCCGCAGAAGTCGGGACCTGAGTTTTCTCCGGGCGGTAAAACAGCACGTGAAATTAGATTTCGGGAACCGCAGAAGAACGTTAAAGTTTGCGTAAATAACGCAGCCGCACCCCGCGAGGGTGCACATAGATCTGACACTTCCCCATCTCGTTGCAAATCGGAGATAGAGCGAGCGGGTCTCAGACAGGTTTCTGAAGCGACGAGAGCATCCGTGCAGCAAGTGAATGCCGCCACTAACCTGCCAAAGGCCAATCGATTCAAATCAGTCGGGAATATAATTGAGAATCACACCCACTTCGAAGGGAAACCTGGGTCATCTAAGCGCACAGAAAGAGTCCTCAGCAATGCAAAGAAACTGTTGGAGGCGTCATCAAAAGCACAGCTTGTCGAAAAGAACGGCGATCATGCAAATTAATCTCCAGCCAGTGGAAGCATCTGAAAACGAATCCTAAGAGCTGCAGAAAACCGCACGCTAAATTGATAACGTGATTGTTTTGGTGCATTTGCACAGTGCGCTCATGCCACGGACAAATCGAATGTGCGTCACGTTTAAATTGACTGTTTATTGACTTGACTTTGCTTTATTTTAAATGTTTGTTTAGCGTTCACACGAGACTAGTTTAACGTGTATGTGTGTGCGTGTGCGAAACACATGAGCGGTAGTGTAGCGGTTAGCGCACTGCGCTACAAACCCTGACAGCTAACACCAGTGACAATTATCTGAACCGGTCTCTGGGCCTTCCGTAAGTCGACTCAGCCTCAAATGAGTAGCTGGTGTGATATGTTAACATCGCTACTGAGAAGACAAAGGAAGCCAGGCGTGGTGCTGGTCACCGACCCCCTCGTGTGCCATGCCGACCTTCATTGGTGCTCGCTAACAGCACTTGCCCCAACAGTCTGTGAAGGCTATACGGGGGATCTTTGGCTTTTTCATTTGTGAGACTTGTTGACCAATTTTACATGGACTTAGTGAAAATATCTTCTGCTATGAAAACGTATCTGCTGCTGTAATTGTTTTCAGAAATATATATTAAAATATACATTTCTGAAATGCAATCTACGTATTCAATGATTACTTTTAGAAATGTTTAGATTTTTTAACTGCAATATGTCCAATTCCTAAATAACATGAACTTGTTTTGACATTGATTACCATGGCTTCCGGCACCATAAATGTTAACATGAACCACCATTGACATCAGTGTATGGGTCGTGTTGGCTATACACACAGGTTAAGTTCATGTTTGTCCCACCATACATTCGGACCATAATACATGCTTTTCTTTGGTCCTTGAGACCACTTCATCTACATACCTCAGATTAACACGGTTGGCTACGTAGAGTGTGAAATAAGTTCAACATACGTACATCTCCAGCTTTGCACAACTCAAAGGACGTTCCAGGTGCAAGTAGATTTGCGAGTAAAAAAAAATGCTCTGCCTTTTATTCACATGCTGACCTGCAAATTCCGTTTTTACTCCTCCCTGGGAGGGTCCCACGCCGTGAATGAAATTACTCAATCTGAAAGGTACGCAGGAGGAGAGAAACCAGGAGCCCGTTGGATACGCGCCGCTCTGTGTATTACCCATAAAAGAGGTTTTTCGGTTAGATCGCCGAAATATAAATGTGCCGTCAAGCTCGCCACCACCCGACACATCCAATTAGTAACGATTTTGTTCACGTGACAAATATTGGCTGTTTATTATGGATAATGTTGGTCGCGAAAGCCTACGTGTTGAACTGCTTTGCGTATTCTCCGCCACAATGCGGCAACTTTAAGCGAAAGTATAATTGTTAAGTTTGACCTCCAAAGCCGGAGGTGGGGAAGGGGGAGGGTTGTGTTGACACACCTTTAATGAAAATAAAATATGGTTGCACGATCCCTGGAATGTTTGCGCGACCATCAGTCACGAACTACCCGGGTCGAGGTGGCCACGTGGCTCGCTGGGGGTGCTTTCAATCCCCGTGTGAGAGCACTGAGCCTTCATCGCTCGTGAGAGTGTGTGCTCGCATCCAAGCCACCGCCTGCTATTCACACTGGGTTCCCAAGTACAACATTCTACCCCGTAAGCAGTGATATAAACACACACACACACGCAAAGGAACAATTATACGGGACTTAATCGGTCTGGTGTCGCTTTGGAACATTTAAATTACGAAAACGAACATTTGGTGAGTATAATTTATGCGTACTTCTGCAGGGGTGTATGGAAATGTGTGTCAGCTTGCAACAGAGACGATGCCTACCAACTGTTGAAGTGACGTCGGTGGGACAGGAGTTTTGTGAAAGATCCAAAATCGACAAAAACACGAATGACATCACGCGATTTCAATGGGGAAATTTAAGGCAATACAGTTGGGGGAAGCAATAACAGGGTTATAGGCCAGCTGTTTGTCCGAATTAAGCAAAACAGAAAGAATTCTAGATTTGAAGTTGTCGTGACTGCAAGGATCCATACTCTTTGTTTTTTTTCGGTAAAAATACATTAAATATGAACAGAAACACTCTTCCCAGTTTGTTGTTGTCGTGCCAACGATGCCGCGGTGGGTGTAAATGTGCGAATGCCTCGGGATTCAATTGGATTCAATTGCGGTGAGTAGTGGGGACAGTTTTGCCAGCGCAAACGCCACGCGCAGGGACAGGTTGACCGTGCCGAGCCACATTTCAATTGCCACTGCGAAAAAAACCGTGCAAAGGATGAAACGCACGCGAATTGTGAATGGGATTTCCGCACACATTGCAAACAATGAGTACGCCGTGTTTTCGCACAAGCGCACGCAAATTGTGAATGGGATTTCCGCGACAACTTGTTCGGCATGCCTCTATCAAAAAAAAAGAGGATATAATAGGATTATGGCTGTATATATAAATATATGAAAGCAAAACTACCGAATTATCTTGCACTCACTGAGACAGAATCCCATAATAACTATAATTACATTCTTTACAATGTCCTCATGAATTGCTTGTCATATACCCACACTCTAGTCTAATACATATTGTATCTTTGGGTGGAACGCTGGAGTGGTGCTTAGTGTACTGCACTGCGAAGATGACGACCTGAGTTCAATTCCCGGCCATGGCTAACATCAGTGCCGAGTAATATCCGAATAAGTCCAGGGCCCACATAGCCCCACGACCTTCACGAATCTGCACGACTTAGTGTGACGAAGTATGGTTAAATAATCCCCGTAGCCGTCATGGGAGTGGGGTGGCCACCAATAAGCAGTGGATTTACAAAGGGGCTGTAAAATCACGTGTTCTCTTGTGAACATCGCATGGAGTATCTCCAACCAGTTGTGCGAGCTCACGTTGCAATTATAATGATATGGCAAGTTTACGAAAGATTTTGTAACGAGAAAATGTAAAAAAATAAACCATACCTACGCGTTATTTACCTGTATTTACATATACATCCTGAAAGTCATGCATGACACACATTGATGTATCGACTAACATAATAATGAATAGTTGCTGCAACATATTATAATTAATATGGGTTGGATAATATTTAGAACTTTTTGCTTGGATGCAATTTTCACATACGATGGGATAATAGAAAAACGTATTCACGCAGCTACTCTTTCATAAACCTACTTTCTGCACTGCATCATTCAAAAGCTTGCTTGCCCTGCAGGTGAGTGTTGCACGCAGATCCACCAACACTTCAAGCATACCCCACCAGAGCCATCAGTTAAAGCAGGTATTAACTTTTACAACGAATGAAGTTTTTAGAAAATGTTGGCAAGACATTGCTTTTTATCCCTCCATCGGCGAAACAAGAGTATCACTATACTCTTTGGTTCTTTTGGTAAAGTCACGTAGGCATAAAATAAAATCAACCACGACGTTTCGGGCGCAACACAAGCATCCATCATCAGGTGGGAATGCATGGTCTGCTGCTGATGGACGCTTGTGTTGCGCCCGAAATGTCGTGATTTATTTTATTTCTAACTACGTGACTTTACCGAAAGAACCGAAGAGTATGGATTCCTGCAGTCACGAAAGCTTCAAATGAAGGGTATCACTGTAGAAAGTCAGCAGCAGCGATCATATGTCGAGACTGGTCGCTAGAATGTGGAATTTCCACTGTGGAAAAGGAGGTGGGCAATATCCCGTGCTCGTTTGGGTAGAAACTAATTGACTTTTCAATGTATATGTATGGCTACATCGCCAAGAATGTAGCAACGTGCTTGTGTAAAGTAATACTTCAATAGTTTGTCTTCATAAATTATTTTCGAGAATTAAATCGTATCAAACCGTATTATACTTTCCTGTGAAATGATTTCCATTCCTCAAATTTAAGGTTCCTGCTCGAATGGGCATTGGATGGTATCCATCTTCTGTTTAAAGGTAAAGGTGCAGCCCTGTAACTCTTTTCTATGCCACTGCTAGCAAAAGGGCCTCCACACTACAGTATAGAGAGCTCCAGAGGGCCTCCTATGGAGGGTATTTTGGACTTCTCTTTCTTGCTGGTAAGACATCTTGTAAGAAGTGGAAGTGCCCACACTTTACCCCATCACACATGATTTTCCAATCAACCGTGGTGTAGCCATTTCAACTGCGAGGTGGACACAGGTGAGGAATTTTTAAAAACTGACCCAGTGCTTCAACTGCAGCAGTTGGAAAAAAAACCCGAGGTCTAAATCCACATTCTTATTGACTTCCTTCAAAGTGGTCGTCTTTTTTATTTACTTCCAGATGGATGAAGGGCTGGATCGACTGCTTCTTTAGATTTGAGTGAATAACCTTCTGATTGAGAGCTGCAGACCCTTAACAGTTGCACTGACCGGCTGGTTGAGAATTCCCGTTTTGATTTAATGTATATAAAATTGCTAAGTAGAACCAACAGGGGGAACTGTTTTACATTTCAATGCATTAGATCAATCAGAACCATTATATTAGGGGCTGCACACAAACCCTGAATGTACAACGTGTGCACCATCTGGCTCATCAACAAAGATGGTGCGGTTTCCCGAGCCTCAAATCACATATATTGTTGGTAAGATCCATCAAGCAGCGATGCATTCATCTTGCATCCATTCCATGCCGTAGATAAAACGATGCCGAAGCTTGCTGCTTCTGAACCCCGAAATGTCGCAAACTGAGACTGACCATTAATTGATGGATGAGTAACGCTTCATGTTATGTATAACCTTGCATTAAAGAAAATTATGGCGCTCCGAGTACTGAATCAGTCGTTAGTCGCTATTGCTTTGCTAAATTTAGAGACAGGAGTGAGAGAGCATGGCTCTTGTCCATAACATTGGGATACCCAACCGTGTTTAAATGCCACACCCTGCTGATGAGACGTTGTGAAGTTGAAACCCATTCAAGGTTGCAATACTTAATTACCAGAATTATATTGTTGTTAAATCTTGACTTAAAGCTTTCGTGACTGCAGGAATTCCCTATATTGTTGTTGTCGTCAGTCAGTAACTTGCCACTGCAGGGCAAGCACATCCCCCATTCGAGTCCATTCCAGGGGCGGTTTCTTCATTAGGGCGATTGGGCGACGCACCACCAATGTCATTCAACCACAGAGTCACGCTAGCCGTCACTGTGCCTCTGGATATAGTCCAATCAGCGTCATGCTACGTTCTGTGGAGTACCGCCTCTTTTTGGGCGATTTCCCTCCAGCTGAGAATCGCCCCGAGTGGCCCCATAGACTTACATTCAAAGATGTTTTTTTTTCGAACGGCGGGCGCTCCAATGCATTCTCTATGGCTTCCGGGAGGGCTCGCCCTAACGTGCTTACGTCATCATACGTGCTTACGTCATCATACGTAAGCACGTTTCATCCAACAATATAATTTGTTGCCACCTAGTGGAATCTTTAATAAAATAAACTTGAGTGGTTTGTTTTAATAGTGAGTATAGAAACAAACAAGATGTATTGTAAGAGTCACTTTATTTTGCATTAATATTAAAGAAGTGAAGTTGCCTTTACATGCTTAAGCTGTTAATTTATCCATTGCATTGGTGGACCTTATCCTTATCAATCATCCAGACATTTGCCCCCCCTGAGAGATTTTGCAGGAGCCGCCACTGGTCCATTCCTTCCTTGAAGTCGGTGCTCTTTGTCCAGCTTCCTCTCGTTATCCGCTCCGTCGTTAGTTTTGTCTCTCCTCAGTCGTTCTCGTGATGCATACTGCCCATTTCCATTTGATTTATTTGCTGCAAAACATGAATATTTAATAAATCCTGTAGATCAATGTATGGAATTACACGTAACAGATTAACAAATCCTAGAGATTAAACAAAAACTATTGAAATGCATTGATTGAGAAGGCCCATTCGTCAATGGATTAAAAAGTTGCAGTATTTAATCTTGGAGATTTAACAAATCCATTTATCTGTGGATTTATTTGTTTTATTCAAAATTTCTATGTTTAGCCATTACGTTCCCTCTATTCTGACAATGGGTTGCCAAATCTTGTCAGAAACTGTTTAATTGGTATGTTTTGTATGTTTGCTTTTTGTTGGGTGGAGACAGATTTACATTTTCTTACATTTTCGCTTTCCAAAACCTCACCTGTACCAAAACTCATAAAACGTAAGAATCTATTTGTCACATGAATGCCTCAAGACATATAATTTATTCTCCATTTGCATATTGCGTGCAGAGAGTGCAATTGCCCTTTGGACGTGACTTTTAAAAGTTTCACATTATAGACTGAGATATTTTTTTTACTTCAAAAAAGTTACGTTCACACAATGCTCACTTAATATGTAAAATAATGTATAATGTCTCTCGGATGTTGGGTTTGAACGCGAATATCCTTCGCAAATTAAAATGGTTCTTTTTAAAACTACAAGATTGTGGTTAATTCTGTGTGTCAGATCAGCCGAACAAAGCCTGGAAGCAGCATTGACATAACAATCATTTTTTGTCATAAAGTCAACTCTCATTGAGCGTTGAGGCTTTTTCATAAAAGTCCTGCATTGGGTTGTCTAGTCCGTATAAACAAACTACAACACCTGGAGACAATACATATGGCAGGATCGCTCTAATACACCTCAACATATTGATCAGAAACCAGTGCACAGGGTTTCGCAGTTGCGCTGTATAGCTATCTTCCGTGTGTCGTCCGGTCAAATTGGTCAACGTGATGTCCGACGTTTTAGACAACATGTCCGACGATTCGCTGCACCTGCTGAGAGCTTCTTCCGTTCCTGAGAAACCACCGGCGAGCAATCAGAAACCAATTTGCTTTACTGCCATCTGGTGGGCTAGCCTGTGCCCTGTAACAGATTCGGGAGTCATGCACACGGTGATATCCGCATACTGTACTGCGATCCACCAACAGCACCTTCAAAGTGGGTTACAGGCATTCATCAACACTCGCAATAACATGAACAAGACAGGCAAAACAGTCAAAACTGCATTCTTGTGATCAGTAAACAGGCACATTTTTCTCGGGTGTCACTGCCTTTCCTGATCAGCCACACAACGAAGGAGTGCAGGGTGTCTCCCTCCAATGGTTTGCTTATGCCACTGCTGGTGGAAGGATGTTGTACCCATGTGTACTGCCCAGCGTGCAGAAGTAGCGGGGTCAAGAAACGTGTCCATTTTTTTTCAACTGCCATGCCGGGAAATCGAACTGGCAATGTCTGGATTGCAAGTCCAGTCTGGTGACCATTGCAAATCAAGTATACTAACCATTGCAAGTCCAGTGTGCTAACCGTACAAAAATAAAATTCCAAAATAGACACCTGGGCCACAATCTTGGGCCTCATGCCTATGAAAAGGCAATCTGGGAGCCCGTGATACTGACAGAAACAGCCTTGGAGGTGCAAGCAACAAAGCAACCACCAATTGCGACAAGCTTCCCAGGCTCTCTTGGACCTATAAGTGAAGTCTCAAATCCCAACCTTTCCACGTGCAGCTGTGCATGTTTGTTTGTTGTGCAAATAGACAAACCTGGCTCCAGCAGGGCATAGGCATCAACCACATGCGGTTGTTGCATTGGTATTTTAATGCCTGATAACACGGACGCTTTGAACACTGGGCATCAGAAGCTAATATTTTTCTTTGCAAAACAGATAGTTGTTTGTACTGTGACACATTTATAGCAGGAAGCTGCAAAATTGATACAAACCTGTATTATACAATTTCATTTTGCATTGTGTTTTTGTTGATCACATTGTATTTCATGTTTTTTAATCCATTATTGGTCAAATTGAACCAGTTTCAGAATGTTTTCTTTTAAGGGAAGCCAATGGTAGACTTGTCTCATGACAGAATACAATTAAAATAAGTGTGAAATAAATACACGTGCCAGTGTTTGTTCCTTAAAGACTACTGTCTCTTCAGAACAATTGAATAAAAGAATGTGAAATGTCTCCTGTATAAGCCATGCCCAGAAAGCACCAGATATAAAAAAAAAACTGTACAACATCTCTGCAGACGTGAGCATGAGTAAATCACATGTCATGAATTTACGAAAGTTTCGCCAAACGTTTTGCTGACAAAGTCCAGATGTTGAGCAAAGGAGGCGAGGGGTCTGTTCTCGTGTGCACTTATGCCTGAAGCGCTGCCTTTCATTGGCGGAGAGGGGATCGGTGTGTGTGTGCGTGTCTGTAGGCGAACGTCACAACTTCTCAAAAAAAAGTTTCTTTTGCTTTGGGGTTTTGTGTGTGTGTCTGAGCGGTGGGGGGGGGGAGTACTCACAGGAAGGGGAAAGAGAGAGGGTGAGAGCAAGAGCAGAAGAGAAGAGAAAAGCAGGGCCGTTGTGTAGCATTGCAAACGATCTCTCCCTAAACGGCCGCGTGTGATGGTGAAAGTGCATTCCGCTGGTAAGCGTGTGTAGATTTGGAATGCAAAGCAGTAAAACCGTAAACATCATTAAATTATCTCCAGCATCATGGCTGTACTCGGAGTTTAAAAGTTAACTGGTAGGAGTAAGTAAAGTTTGTGTCTTTATGCCATTTTTACGTGCTGTTGTATTATTGTCCATAGCTTGCATGCAAACGTTTATCAAAATCATGTGGTAAATATTGTTGTACTGTCTGATTTTTTTTATACAATAGTTTTGTTTTTTCCCCTGTGGTCGTGGTGATAATGTCGTGCACATGTGTTATTTGCTGATAACCTACATATCAGTTGTAAAAAAAGTTGTTTTTTGTTTCTGGAAGAGTGTTCCACTCGCCAAAATCAGCGTTGACAATTGTGTGCGAGACACGGGTGTCATCTTATTTGCATGAGATTTGCATCAGCTACAAAGAAAGCTGCAAATATATTCGGCCGCATTGTGTGTTTGGGTGGCATCATTTTTAGAGGATTCTTCAGAAGTTTTTCTTAAACTTTTTATCGTCGTTATATCTGTTTATATATTACTTTTAAACCGCAATAATCCTCCAGCAGTAAGTGACATACAGCGAACAGCTTGAAAGTATAATAGTGTGCCACCAGTGGTGATTAACGTGCAAAACGACTTGGCCAGCAGGGATAGAAGAGATTATGTCTGTTCCTACCGTGCATGATGGTGCTTGCTCCGATTTTAGGAGCGATTTGGTTACATTGATACTTCCCTGCACTGATGTAGCATTTGCGGTCATCCTTAACTGATTTCCAGGTCAGCAGCATGCTTTGCTATTTCTTCATACCCCGCGTATTTATTTCTCGCGAAATAAGTGTAAGTACTTATTCCAGAACTGCACTGTTTTACTTTAAGTAGCATGGGTGCAGACGCGGTGTTTTAACGTCCTTTAATCGTTGCAAATGTATAGGGAATTAAATAGCATACCACCTTGCATACTTCGAGAGTTGTTTAAATGTATCCATAGGGGCAAGTGAGTTAGCGAGCACCTATTGAGGCAATTCTGGCAAATTAATTGCGTTGGAGCTACAACCACAGCTGATCGTCGTTCATTGTTGCCTTAATCTTGATGTTGATACATCACAGTCGGTACTCATTTTAGGCTCCGTTTATTTATGGCCAGCTCAGAGAAGGTTGATATGCCAATTATCAGTGATGTACCTGGCCTGGAATTGAACCATGGGGCATTGAAATTTAAGTACAGGGCAATCCATGAACACCATAAAACCACTATGCAAATTGTACATCAACACAAACAAATATCCCCATATAGCCTGAAAGGACTGTTGGGGCAAGTGCTGTTAGAGAGCACTTACGAAGGCCAACGTGGCACACGAGGGGGTGGGTGGCCAGCACCATGCCCAGCCGCCTTTGTCTCCCAGTGCTGATTTTTTACACACCGCATCAGGTACTCATTTAAGGCTGAGTCGACCTACGGGAGGCCCAGGGCAGGTTCACATATTCATCTCTGATGTTGGCCGAGGGCGTGAATTGAACTTGGGTGGCATGGTTCATAACGTAGTATGCTAACTATTGCGCCACCGTTCCCCACAGGAACAAGCACACACACACATGTCCATGTTTATAGTGAGTCTGGGCATTGCTGTTTTTTTATTGCTGAGTAACCATTGTTGTTGACAACTATTGTGCCAGGGGCTCACCAGGTGGTACATATTTTACTGATCATGGAGGGAGTATGGATCCATCGACCCTGAATAAGATCTTTCAACCTGTCCTTTTTTTTATTCACACTGCCCTTTATAAAAGCTCCCCAGATAATTTCATATAGAAAGCAGGGAATGGTGATATTTCCGTTGGTATGTCCACAACAGCAAAACCACTGTACAGTGCAACTACTTAAAAAAAAAACATAACGTAGCTTGCCATATTTCTACTGAGGGAGGGAGGGAAGGAGCCAGGGAGGGAGATGCCTGTTTGTGTGTGCACGAAGCATATACTTGGAAGCCTCAATGCATCTCTAAAGTGTGTAATCTAAATAGCATTTCTCTCGTGGGAATTTTTTTAGATTTTAAATGTGCAAAGTTCGAGGATGGTGATTCAAATATGTGTATAGTTTATGTTTCTGGATTATGTGATATTGCAATGATTGTACTATACACTTGAATCTAATTGATGTATAATTAAGTTCTTGACCTATTTCTTCTTCCCTGAATCTGAAAAGATTATTTATAATTGGAGCTCTTATGTCACGACTCATGGCCCTACACATGGTCAAAGCAGCTTGTGCAGCATCCCTATGAAATGCCAGCCAGTAAGACAATCTTGTTTATTTCATCTAATGTCAGGGATGCCCTACATCTTATTTGTACTGGCGGTTTGCAATGCGTCTACGAGGAGTACTTTAAGATGAGCTTAAAAGTGGCGAGCAACTGTCCCATTGCACGCCTGGCGATGTTTTGCAACTTTAAATGCCTTTTCTCGGCACTGAAAACCAGATGGTCGCTTTTGAAGCAGCAAGTTAGAGAGTTTTATATTACTGCACAAGTGTTCTCCTTGCCCAAGTATGGTTAAAATTGGCTGAGCAGCTCTGCCGTAAAGATCCTGAAGTGCTATGCAGAAGTGGGGGTGGGCGGGCGGCGGGGGGGCGGAAACATTTCCATATTATCAGCAGAGTCAAATGCAAATAGCCCCTCGTGTTACATGAGGTTTCATAAGTTAAAATACGACCAATGTGTGAAAGCGTCCTCAATCAATAACAATAATAGCTTATACCATTAAGAGTGTATCAGCCCTTGTGCTGTGTATCCGGGGAGAGAATGCTAACAATAACGTGCGTCTGTCCAATACACGGGCACTGGAAATCCAGTGGAACAGCTGTGCAGTGTGTGCCAGTGACCCGACCATATGATCCGTATGGCGGTACCCCGGGGTAGCAAATAATAGAAAATGGGCCGAGGCAATTAAATATTTCATTTCTGGGACACTATTTTTTCCAGCGGTGTTACTTAACTCCGCGACTGGGGTACCAATCGCCAAACATTAGCATAAAAAAATCCGTTATCGAAACATTAAACTTTGAATCGTGCATCGTGTAACAGCTCGTCGAGATGAGTCGATTGCCGCATCGCCGACTCATCAACAGACTAAAAATGACTGCATCAAGGACATTATGCGAGAGCTGGGGCACTATGGTAGCCCCTGGGGTACCGCCATAAGGTTCATATGGTCAGCATGTGGCATCTTCACGATCGGAAACCATGAACATGCGTGCAACGCTCACTGCCTTGGTGGTTGCTCTTTGCTGTAATCGTGATGAAGTCAGCGGTGGCTAGCCTAAGGATTGTACCACACATGCACACGCTATTTTCCATGCACTGGTCTACGTCTCCGATGTTCCCTAGCACCAATGAGGAGCAACTAATAGGTGGAGAATTCATGCGCTGGGGGAGGGGTGGGGAGGTGGTGCGTTGGCTCGTGCATTCTGCTGTGAGACCCGTAGATTCGAATTTTATATTCCAGTCACGGCTGACATCAGTGGCGAATGACATCTAGAACTGATTCTGGGTCCCCCTTCAACGAGCAGCAATGACCAGCATGGTGAAGTATGGTGAAAACAATCCCCGGCGTGGGGAAGCCTTCATCCAGCAGTGGATTGACAGAGGGCCGAAAATCAATCTCGCCTTTTAATTTAATGATGCGCGGTCCCCCGTTGGCCGTGTTGGATCCGTGTTCGATCTGTGTTCGGTATGAGCGTCACTCAAGGGCACTGCTGGGGCTACGAGACTCCTGCCCCTGGTTACCGGACACATTCCAAACGGGCAGACCTATGAACAAGCTGAAGCAGACGTAGCATCTGTCCAATGAAACAATTCCTTATGGTCTAAATAAAAAAAATAGATCGGCAAAGTTGCAAAGTACTCAACGTCATTGCTTTAAAAAATATTACATTATATGGTCGTCAAACGCTTGACTCAGCAGTTAGAAAACACGTTAGAACAAGTCACAGTTCCCGGTCAACTTTACTCAGTGTCGTTTTGGGGTCAATAAAATTGGTACTATTTTGTGGGAGGTCAACAATGGTTGTCCTGTGAATTGATCTCCCCCACAACTGCATGGATTGTTCACGATTGGCTCAGAAAGTGCCGATGGTGATTCACGCACACCACCACCGCCTGCTCGTCTGAACGAGGTTTACACTTTTACTCAATTTAGACTTTGTAAACAATCATGTTCGCATAGTTACCGAAATGCGGAATGCTAATGTTTTCTTGGAAGAGTGCAGGTGCAAATGAATGCAGCCACTGTCTCGCTGTGTTTCGCCAGGGACACAATTCAGAGCGCAAGAAGCTCCTCTACCTTGCCGTAGATGAATCAAACTACCACTTCAACGGCGACACCCATGTCTCTCCTCTGCATGTGCTTGAAGCTGATTGCATCGTTCACGTTTGTTGACATAACCGGTTGTCTCTGTGCCTCCGTGTTTTGCAGGGCAGTAAGAAATGATCGCCCTGCGCAGAGTGTGGCTTGTGCTGTGGATATGTATTGCATCTCTAGAAGAACGGACGGAAGCTGAAAGAGCTGGTAATGGGTGCGGATGTGTGACTGCGTGCTTGCTAATACACCGTGACAATAACGCTGCAATGATTGCACGGGGAAATATGACTGTGGTGCAGTGGTGGTGCTGCGATAAGTGCATTGCATTATCAACCTGGTTATAAGAGCTCGATTCCACACCATGGCTAATATCAGTGGCGAGTGATGTCTAAAATAGTCCTTGGCTACCTCTATCCTTCACTTCCAACCCGCATTGACCAGAGTAGTGAAGTATAGTCAAACAATCCTCAAGACCAACACAGCGTTGGGAGACCTTTATCCAGTAGTGGATTGCAAACGGCGTTAAAGTTTGTGTTATTTGAAAAAAATTGGTGTAACGCACTGTGCTGAACAAGTTCCAGTGGAAAATATTAAACCATTAAGGTATGTTAACCAGAAGCATTGCTTTTTTTATTACAATTTCATACAATTTTACAACAATTTTATCGCATTCAATACAGTTTGAGAAAAGAATATTGAAACACATTTTTGTACTTTTTCTAACAACTTACTACACTCATTTGCCTATTACACCCCCTTAAAAGGAAAACAAATATATATTTGTAACAATTCAAGCAATGGCCCATTTTCATAGCACACGGTATTGCAGCTGTTGTCTTTAAAAATAAACAATTGATTTGGTGATGCTGCATTTCCAATGGTCCACAAGCACCAACAACAACAAACTCAAACATATTTGTAAATAACACAGTGACCTTAAAAATAAATAATATGTTATGATAAAGGACCATTGCCTAAAATGTCGCCTGTTTTTTTTCCTTTTAAGGCGGTGCTATTGACGAATGTGCTGATGCTGTTGTACCACCGGTGTGTGATCATTAGGATCTAAAGTGTATTGCACTAATCATTGTGGTATAACGGTTTGTGTGTGCGTGCGCACACTGTGGGTCTGCATAGCCTATAACACGGAACATTTTAAAGTTGTTTTCTTATCGTGAAATAATTGAAATGCAATATATTGCAATGTTTGATTCCCACTGCTGTTACCATTAAAATCAAACATTAACAATTACTTTTAAAAAGTAACTAAACTTTCTAATATAAAACAATAGATTTATATTTCATTACGAATGGTTCAACAAGAGTTATTGTGTAAATTTTAGATATGATATTTTCAAGTACAGCACTGCGAGTGAGTCAATAATACTTGTTGAAGAGGATTTGGCAAAACATCCCAAATGCAGGCAAAAAAAACTCAAATCGACTTTCGTATATATTTGCGTACGTGCTTATTCATATATTTCTCTCGTGATTTAATTAATAGCCTATATAATCACAACTCTCTTCGTCCATCAACCTACTGGCTTTTCAGCTCAATATTGCAAACACACTCTGTACTGGTTTTGACCTTCTGAGTCTTATCAGAAGCATTGTTAAACAAATGCTTCTGGGTTTCCAGATATTATTTGCAAGAGCACTCATGTTAAACAACAATTGAATGCAATTATTGGACTGTTATACAATGGGACAGAAACACTCAATATATTGATTCCTTTGTGTCACCATATATTTCCACGAAATTCTGAGTACTACAAATGTGCATTAACATGCACAATGCCACATACTAATTTAAAAAATAAATCCCATTATGGCAGAGTCACACAGAATCATTGCAGAACATTTCATACATTGTAAAATGCATCCAATTGTGTATTTTCTAGAGCTTCAGTGGTGCACCAATGAATCAATTCACATTGATACTTCAGCTTACATTGAATGTGTAAGATGTTTTTAAAGATGTTTTTAAAGATGTTTTTTCAAGTGTGTTACACATAGTGGGTCCAGGTGACATTTCCAGCCACTGTAGGCCACTACATTAACCAAAACAAAAATAATATTTCAGTAGATATTTTTTTCAAATTACAACCTTCACTGATGACAATTCGATCAATCGTGATGGGTGCAAATCGTTAGACCCCTATTACATACACAGTTTATAGCAGTACCTTTACTCTTTGTCAAATTAATTAAAATGCTATTCAGTTGTATCAGGAGTTAGTCAAGTATTACGATAATTGAAAGGTTTTTTCTGGTCTTTTTTCAAATTATTAAATTGTGCTTACGGCATCATGTCATGGGACAAAGTATAGCTCTTGCAGAGCAGTGCATTACCTCTTATTAGAGAATGGGTCCACAGAAGTAGATATCGCAGGACTACATCTGAAATCCAAATAATCTCTATCCACAAGAATGGTCTGTGCACCTCCTCACATGTCCTGCTGCAGAGAAATGCCCATCAATAAGCAATCAAACTGATACTTTAAAATCTCAGAACTGATGGAAATGTGTCAAATGAAGTGAAAACTAGAAAAATATGATGGGATTGAGGATGTAGCTTAATCATGGATGGCTGCCCAGATTCAAACCCAGGATCTCAGCAGTGACAGCTCACTGCTCTGACCCCTTGAGCTACCGGGCCTCCTCAATAATGAAAAATTCGAAAAATGTATATTGCCTGATGTGCATTGCTTATTGCAATGTCCCATCTCAATCTTATTCCAAAAATGCATTCATATTTGGAACATATTTATGGTTGTATTAAAAGTAAAGGTATTAGCCCCATCTACAATAATATAGCGAAATCTTGACTTGCAGCTTTCGTGACTCCAGGAATTCATATTCATTGGGTCTTTCGATAAAGTCACATAGAACAAAAAAAATGACAGAAAACTACGACGTTTCGATCGCAACACAAGCAATCAAAACGTCGTAGTTTTTGTTGTTAATATTGTTGTTCTACGTGACTTTACCGAAAGACCCAAATAATATAATATAGCTATATTTTAAATCCCAATATTCAGAAAATCACCTACATGCATTACTTACGCCTTAATATATGCGCAGCCTAAGATCAATTCACCGGGAAATCTCATAAGCGTAGCAGAGTATCGCCAGGATTATGAGGTTAGTGACCACCATCTGTAATAAGTATAACCCGTAAAAACAAAGTTTTTCACTCTAAATCCTTTATATGCGTGGCGGCTAGAGTCCTCTCGTCCTCTGGCTTGAGATGGCTGCCACCTATGGGTCAGATGATTGTCTGCAGTATTAAACAATTGGTAATTAAATATTTAATTTGTTTTCCCTAAACAGTGTAAAATTTTGGATTTTTTTTTCACGAACATTAATTGTCTCGCACAACGAGTCTGTGTGCAAAATGTCAGCTCGATTGGATCACGGGAAGTGGGTTAAAAAACGACCGAAAGGTTTGCATGGTCGTAAGCAAGCAAGCAAGCACGCAAGCAAGCAAGCGAACTTAATATAAAGGATTTAAAAACGGGTGTTATCGGCTTCTACAGGGCTAGGTTGTGGGCACCAGAGAGGGCAATTTAGCAACACCCATTGTTGTAATTCACTTCTAGGCTACCACATCTTTGCTCCCGACCTTCACATGTACCGCATGGTGAAGTATGGTCAAATGACCCCATATGACTCACTCGGTGTTGGCAGGCCTTCATCCAGCAGTGGATATCAAATGTACTGCGCGTGTGCGTATACACAGTAATCTCAGTTAAAGATTATTAAACACACTTGACTGCCGCGGATTGTACAACTAAACACCACGCTCGACCGGTGGCGTTAGCAATAGTGCAGCTGCCTCGGGTCTGGGTTTTGAATTCCTTCCTATAAGTTCATTTCATTGGCATGTCGCCGTCGTGTCATGGTTCGCGCGCACCGGGCTTGCAACCCAGAGGCCCGCGGCTCGATCTTGATCTCACGGTGCGGCAAATGAAAGCAAATGGAAACGTTGCATTAAATCCCCATCACACCGCCACTGTCCACCAATCGTCAGGTGGTGTGTGGTGGAGTAAAGTGAGTGAGTTACTCCCATCTCTTCCATGACGTCTGTAGTGGAGTAGTGGAGGTCTCATCTGCCACGAATGGAGTTCTAATGCGATTGCAGGCTGCGCCTTTACGCTGTAAAATTAATTTTACAGCGTATGAAAAGTGGCTATGAATGTAAGTCGCGTGTGCCATTGCAATGCTTGTACGTACAGTAGTACGATTGTGACTTGATTAGCATGGAAGCTGCATTCTTGTCTTTGTGACCATAAATGCTGCAGGCATGGAATTAAGTTCCATCAGATAAGGGGGGGGGACTAAACGGCAGCTGTTATGGTGAACCCTCCTGGGTATGAAAAGAAATATAGTGCAAGCAGTTTGTCAAAGTCGACAACACAAAGCAGTTTGTGCTTCTTAAACCAAAGATTAAGTTGTTGAGGTTGTTATGGTTATCGAGAGCTTGTTTCAGTTTGTCATCAGCTTTGGCCCTCCTCTGATGGACAATGCATCCCCAAACAATATCCTACCTTAAACTAGTTTAACGTGACAATTAAATTAATTAAATACAATCCCATCCCATCCTTTATCTCTCCGAATCAAACTGTGTTTGGTCCAATTAGCATGGCATTTCTCAGCGTGAGCACAAGATGCCCATCATGACTGTCAATGGGGGAGGACCCAAATCATCTTGCTTTCACAAAGGCACAAATAACCAATGCTTGTGAGAGTGTGATTTGAAAAACAGTGGGAGCAGTAGTATAGCGGTTAACGCGCTGCGCTATGAACGTGGCGACCTGGGTTCGATTCCTGTCTCGGTCAACACCGGTGACGATTATCTGAACCGGTCCTGGACCTCCCCTAGGTCGACTCAGCCTCAAATGAGTACCTGATGCTGTGTGTAAACATTGCCACTAGGGAGACAAAGTTGGTCGGGCGTGGTGCTGGCTACCCACCTCCTCGTGTACCGTTCCAGCCTTCATAGGTGCTCGCTAACAGCACTTGCCCCGACAGTCTGTTAAGGCTATAAGGGGGATATTTGTCTTTGAAAATCAGTGCAATTTTTATTGTAATTTCAGTATTTTACATCATTATTGTTATCAATATATCTGTCTGGGTGGCACTGCGATTAGATTGCAATACTCACAATTGTAAGTCGGTAATTTCAAATCACAGTCGGGGATTTAAGGAGCGTGTTATCTTCCCTGTATCCCTCGAGGCTCTCAAAAGTGAGTACCACCTTGTGAGTAAACATTTGCAGTCGCCGTATGAAGGAAATGCCCCCACCATGGGAATATGGAATTTGCATTACTTGCTTAGAGCCACCAACAGAGATGAATGCTTCCCCATTGCTTGAGCATAGAAAAATACCATTTGAACAAATATTATTAATCATAAAGTTAGAATACGTGAATGTAAATTTGCATTGAGGCCACCTCTATCCGACACAGTCAATTCGTAAGGTGTATTCCAATAACAAAACATTCACGTGACAAATCTTAATGTTTTGTTCACTCGAAAGCCTTGGTGTTTAATACATTATATTACGACTGCCTAGATGTTCAAGGTTATATTTCTGTAGCTCTCTGATGTGACTTTTGAGTCATACCATACATTGTGCAACACGACGTTAAATGTTTGCCCCACATAAACCCGTGCTGGAAGAAAAACTTCCAAGAAGATGCTCCCAGCACGTGGATCGAAACGTCAGACATCACGCCAAACAACACGCGATACAACGCGAAAGCACATCAGGAGATGTGATATTGCCGATCGTTGTATACACACAACTGCACTGAAGCTCAATTTCTTTCACCATTTTTACGTTGCGTGTAGGATGTAGAGACCTCCACTACGACCTGGTGTTTGTCCTGGACGGTTCTCCCAATGTTGGCCCCGAGAACTTCTCCAAAGCGCGTCTGTGGGTCTCCGACTTCATCGGCGGGCTGGAGACGGGCAAGAACAAAACGCGCGTGGGGCTGGTGTGGTTTGACGACGCTCCGCACACGGCGTTCCGCCTTGGCAGCTCCTTTGGACGAGAGGGCATCCGCAAGGCGGTGCGCAACGTCCGCTACCAGGGCGGCGCCGTCATTCCTGGCGCGACGGCCTCGGCTCGAGCCGGCGCGGCTCTCGTGTACGTTGCCAAGCACAGCTTCTCGCGGGGCCGGGTCCTGGGCTCGGGTGGCCCTCAGCGCGTGGCCGTGTTGGTGACGAGCGGCAAGAGCCGGGGCGCCGCGGCGGAGGTGGCGCGAGGCGCACAAGCCGCGGTCGCCGCCGCCGTGCGCGTGTTCGTGGTGGGCGTCGGGGACGTGCTCAAGGAGGAGATGGAGGCGATGGCCAGCGACCCCGACGCCGGCCACATCTTTCACGTGGAGGATTTCGGTTCGCTGCAAAGGGTCACCAGCGTCCTTCGTCAGAAGCTCTGTGAAAGTGAGTTTGGCGCGATAGTTTGCCAAGTTTAGAAACTTTACTTTGGCAATCCATTTACGTGAGATTTCAGTTATATGCAGCGTTTTTCGAATGGGTTTGTTAAACGTGCAGCTATAGTGTGCATCGTTCATTCATTAATTGCAAATTTCATTTAAATTAGTCAGATCTTTGAAACAAAAAGCAATCTCGTAATACGGTAATGTAGCCTTGGCACAGCCATTCAGACACTGCACTATGAACCTTGCTATCTGAGTTTGATCCCTGGCCACCGCTAACATCAGTGGCAAGTGATATCTGAGCCAGTCCTGAGTGTCCCCTTCATCAACCTGCAATGACCAGCGTGTTGAGGTATTGTCATATAGCCCCATGACTCACACGGTGTGGTGAGGCCTTCATCCAGAATGTATTTGGCAATGGCATGGAATTTAGTATCAATTAATATGTTTGCCTTTATACTATATTAATTTAGATATTTATGTATTTATATATGTAATTCGTTATTGTCCAATGTAAATAATACACATCGTGCTTATAACCAGTTGCACGGTGAAGTTTTAGAAATGGAGCCACATGCACTACCGTATGCATCAATTCGAAATGTATATACACTGGCTCACTCTTAAAAGCCAAGCAATATTGGGTATGGTGATGATAATTGGAGTTTGACTGCTTAAACATTCTGTTGGAAAAAGACTGGTTTCGGAATAGCCATGGGCTGATGGCCCTGAACGTTACGTTATATTTAGAATGTGAAACACACCATTCTTGTTGATATTTCACTGAGGCCATGCCGAACCAAACTCCACAATTTCGAGAGACGGGGTGGGGAACTCGAGCCCCTCTGTCACAACTGGCCACAGGAGGGAATGGTGACCATCCTGTACTGACGAATCCTAATAAGGATGAAATTGGCGTGAAGTTGCTTCTTCATCTTTCTGCGAAAAAAAAAACAAATGCCACAATCTCAGCTATTTTAACCTGGTGGCCATCACAACCCTTTGTACGGATTTTGTCCAACAATGATGATACAATCATGCAATGCAACGTTTGCTGGATGTATGATGTTTTCCTCTTGCAGTCACCGTTTGTATATACACTGTTAGACTTTTATTTATTTAGCACTCATGTGTGCAAGAAAGCATTGTGTTCCATATGGTGACAGCTCTGTCAATTCCCAAGCACGTGAAAGTGATATATATATACAGGCTCTAGATCAGTACTGATGTATTTCCAACATGTGTTTGTCTTCCGAAGTATAGTATTTGTTTAGTGATAATACGTTACCTTCCCAGTTGCATAATTAATTCATGTCGCTCTCTGCACGTGACGTGCGACGTCACGAGTGTATGTCACGCAAAATGACACTTCGGTGAGGCAAGCACGCACCAAAGTCCCATATAGCAAGACAACTTTAAACTACACATTTAATTTTCACTGGCGTTATCATTATGTTGCAGGGAATAGATGAGCACATCGGTGCATAGAGCTAACGCATTAACGATTTCAACCTGAGTTGTTAAGCATTAACACGAAAATAAATAATATATAACAATTATATAATCATCTTCATCTTATAGTAGTAGGTTTTTACCCTTTAAACTGGTACAAAAACTGACACCTTTATACAAGGCATCATGTTTGCAATAACCACAACACAAGTAGTCAAAATGCAAACAAAAAGAAACAACTCTGATAATGATAATGATATGCACTGTCTCGGGTGTGGACCAATCAACTTCAAGGACAGTGCACATCATTATCATTATCTGAGTTGTTTCTTTTTGTTTGCATTTTGACTACTTGTGTTGTGGTTATTGCAAACATGATGCCTTGTATAAAGATGTCAGTTTTTGTACCAGTTTAAAGGGTAAAAACCTACTACTATATTTTGCCACTGGTAAAGGAGGTCTCATAGTGTAAACATCTTCATCTTGTTTATATTCCCCCTACAAACATTTATGTATAAAAAAACACATCTCTCGTTTGTGTGTAAAATCATGTATGCAGTAACATCCAAATGCACGGTATTGTTACTCCCAGTGCAGACGAACTAAATGCATAATATATTGAGTCGGCTTTGCAGATGATGAAATGTTTGTGTGATGGAATAGAGGGGGCAGTTATGCCTTGTGAACTCAGCAGAATGTGTCAGTCCAACACTCGGTGTGAGGCCTTCCTCTCATGTTTCATTTTATTCTTAAATCTTGTTTCAATTATTGTGACACTCCCAACCACAAGCTGCACGAACAATTTAGAGGTGACCGTTGTTTGAAACAGCATTTTTGTGAAACGCTTAACCAGTGGAAATTCTCGCCATGTCACGTGTCACAATGTTCCATGTTAAATGGAGAACATTGCAGGAATCAAAAGCGTTTACGCATAATGTTCTTCATTATATTTTATGCAGGCTTGTTTTGCTCAGCTCCAATGCTACAGAGTTTATTCTTTGTGAAGCGATAATCATTCGTGACATCTCGAGCTTACGTGGATAATGAGTATTCTGAAACCAAATGTACCACTCTAAATTAGGCATATTACAAACAAACAAACGTCTTCAGCATAAAAACGGAAACGATAACTTTTTGTGTCTAAAATCAAAAGTGCCGAGATGTGAGTCGCAGGCTCCAAGCGCTGAGCCCAAACCACTGGGAGCCTGGGTTTGAACCAGGGCAGCCACCCATAGTTAAACTTGATAATCCAATGTAGCAAGATTAACTGGCTACTATTTTAACTGTTTGTATTTTACCAAGTAAGGCTCACTGAGCTACATAGCTTTTTTTTAAGAAGCGACCTGGCCACAAATTATAGCTCAACGAAGTGGCGTATCACGTGGAAATTTTCTTCTAAATTGGGAGGGAAAAAAACGGAAGACCTGGAAAAAAAATCCATGCGACCACGGGGAGAACGTGCAAACTCCAAATATACAGACGCCAGGGTCTGGATCGAACCCATTAACTCCTGTATACTAGGTGAGGTAGTTAACATATCGCCACCGTGGCGAGATGTTACGGGGTCAACCGTCATCAGTTATTGGTGACTGGGTTGACACAATTTGGTGTTTTCGCTTAATTTGGCAATTTACAATTTCTCAGAATATGAAATGTAGTTCTAGATTTGAAGCTTTCGTGACTGCAAGGATTCATATTCTTAGGTTTTTTCGGTAAAGTCACGTAGGTAAAACATCAAAATTAATAAAAAATAAAACAAAATAAAGATCACGACGTTTCGGAGGCAACACAAGTCTCCGTCATCAGGTGGGACCGTCACAGCCAGATTAGCTGCATCATTGCCTCACTTGATGCAGCTAATCTGGCTGTGACGGTCCCACCTGATGACGGAGACTTGTGTTGCCTCCGAAACGTCGTGATCTTTATTTTATTTTATTTTTATTAATTTTGATGTTTTACCTACGTGACTTTACCGAAAAAAACCTAAGAATATGAAATGTAGGTTTGATTGCCCTGCGATATTACGTGTGAAAAAGCGCAGCACCCCTGGTGTGGATAAACAGTCTCCTGTGCATGTATATATCATAGCTTTGTCTTTTCAGATACACTAAACATTTTGGAAGGCGTGATGTGCTCATGTTTTCATCTGCCTAGGTCGCATTGTACGTGCACGTTGGTGATAAATGCTTCGCCTTTCTAGCATTGTTCAATAAACTGTTGAATTTTATTTATGTTGCTGCTTTTTGAATCATTGTGCATTAACAGCCATTTATGTTTTTTTTCCCTTGCCAGACGTGGTATGCCCAAGTTACCAGATCGAGAAACAGAGAGGCTCAGGGAAGCGCATTGACATTCCAGGTGAGAATAATACAGGCAGCATGGAAACTGCTTGCATGTGGTAAAAATGTATACCCATACGTGTTGCTAAACATTTTTAGTTTTTTTTCTACACTTTATTTAATGAAGAATACTTTATACTGCTTGGCACTCTGCTTTGAAACTGCTTGTGGGGGCTCAAATTCATCTAATGCGTCCGATTGGTTTCCTTCACTACAACCTAATCGGTTTTTATAGAATGGGTGGCATTATCATTGTACATGTGTCCCTCGCTCTACGCGATAGCAGATGTGTTCCTAACCTGCGCACAAAGCAGAACCGCACGAGAAGGCAGCTGCCTGCCGAGTGGCACACACGGTTCACATAATGTTGTCCTACGTCTGACCGTATAGTCACCGATGAGGGAATTCAAACTACATAGAAACACTTTTGGGTAGAAATAGGAAAGCCACACCGAAGCGAAATCGCACAAATCAAAAGCCACGTAAATAGTGAAACCTGTAGGTGAATCCATTGCCTTTATTAAAGAGATCATTCATGCTTTGTGCAGACCAACATTCATCCATGATCTACCAACGTATGAACAAAAAATAGGCTTTAACCCTTTCTGAAAATAATACATGTGTTAAGATGTTCAAACAACAAATAGACACCAAACAGATACCCACACATGCTTTTGGTAAAACATTCAAACAAATATGCTTTGATAATGTACGAATTGTCTTTGAAACGGATTCTCCTTCACCAGAGACAGCCTCCTTTAAGGCATTGTCTCACTACCAGTGTTAGACCAGAGGATGCCAAAAGACGAATAGCACAATGGCACATTCATAGCTCGGGTTGAGCAGTTATATTTCTGGGACCCATTTTAGTGCCTTGCAATAGATGTCGCTTTGGTATTTGAATTTCTTAACACTTACTCATTGGTTCTTTCGGTAAAGTCACAAATGTAGAAACGCCATTTTCACCTGAGGACGAGCGCTTGTGTTGCGTTTAAAGAGTCGTGATTTATTTTATTTTTATTTTATTTCTACATACGTGACTTTACCGAAAGAACCAATGAGTATAGTAATTCCTGCAGTCACGAAAGCTTCAATCCTAGATTATCTTAACACCTGTATTATTTACAGCAATGGTAAAGCATTTTACTTTTTTATCTAAAAAGTTCTTAAAGAAGGCCCTCACTATGTTGCGTCCATCATGGGAGTTGTATGTATGTATTTTGAACTTCCTTTGCACCGGACGTAGCCAGCCGTGCTAATCGGAGGTGTAGGGGAAGGACAACAAATTCAACACAAAAAGCAGTTCTAAAGAAGGGAGTCTTCAACCTAGATTTCAAATTGCATAGCTTCAGTGGCTGCTTAATATCGGAAGAGCATTCCAGATGGTGGCAGAAGCACATCTGAAAGTGCGCGATGGAGTTGACTGTCTTTGTTCGATGAAAAGCCAAAAAAACATACTTCACCACGCTGGTCAATGCAGGTCATTGAAGGGAGGTGGGGGCAAGACCAGATCATAATACCACTCGCCACTGATATTAACCGTGGCCCAGTATGGAATTCAGAGTGCAATGCACTAACCATCTACGCGACCGATCCACTACCGTAAAATGTCAGATGATACCACTGACGTTGCCAAACTTGATACCACATTTGGCAAAGTATATCTGCCATTTCTTCCAACAATTTTGTTAGAAAGTTGATCCAGCAGCAGTTCTTTGTAGAAAAGCCACACGTTATCTACGAATGCCAAAGCTCTACGTACATGCCCTGACAGAATTGTATTTTAAGCTTCACAGAATCGCATCACCCAAGGCACCCCTGGATGGAGTAGCATTATCTATTATTACGTTGTTTCATGCATGTGTGTTTCTCCAATTTTATCATAGTTATGCTGTGAGTAGCTTGGCACAGGCTGCTTAATTTAGATTTCTATAACCCACGAAGTTGAATTTCACATCAGTAAACTGTCTGAAAGTTAAATGGTTTGTCACCTGTCATCATTCTAGTATCTATCTTACCACGTAATATAAAGTGCGATATTATACTGTGCAGTAACAGAAGTAGTTACAATTACAATAGAACCCATAATGATGTTTTAAAAGCAAATAGTACACATTGTTCTTTGTATGGTCATCAATAGTTGTGCTAATTATATTAACTTACTTCACGTTAGAACAGAGCGTGAATTTGAACCCACAATGTCAGCCATGCTTATTCGTTGTTTGGACATTGGCATTAACCGCATAAACCACCCAGTCCCCACTAAACAATTTCCATTTGTTGATTTTTAACTGTACGGTGGTATGGCAAACCCACAGTAAAATGTTCCATGTCTAGAAATTAATGCATGCTTACCCTATAAACATTACGTATTTCACTTATAAAACTGTCTCGCCAAAATGTGAATTAACAAGCATACCGGATATAAAAAGCTTGACTTGACTTTGGCTTATGACAGTCTGAAATGTAATATTAATGTAGTGGGCACACACGGACAGTGTAGTTAGCCCGATGGACCACCACCCTTGGTTAACATCTGGTAAAGGGGAAGTTACCCCTTTGTGTTAGTACGTTGGTTAATAAATGTGTTGCCTCCAATAGTAAGCCTGAGCCTCCATCTGTACCCACTACATAAGTGGCTGCATTGGTAGGTTCTGTACATTAGCATTCCTGCCATTTGGCCAATTGGTAGAGCCAATGGTTGGATTTCCACAGTCGCACAATGTTTTCCCTACGTAGAAATGCCATAATGCACACTTGTTGATAAAGCAGAAATCAGAGAGTGTGTGATATAATATCCTAAAAATTACTATACTCTTTGGTTATTTCGGTAATGTCACGTAGGTAGAATAAATAAATTAATATATTGTATATCACGATGTTTTGATCGCAACACAAGCGGTCGTTCTCAGGCGGAAAATATAATAATCCAGCAGTGGAGCTGCTGAACCGGCGAGAGAGCTGCTACAACAAGGTTATATATGTGGTGAAGGGCAAGCAGGCGGGGTCTGAGCTGGAAAGGAATTCTATCCCCGGACGCAAGCACGTCAGTTGTGTTAATGGGGGAGATTAGGGAGAGAGAGATTAGGGAGAGAGATTAGCATGGAATTAGCTTCCGTCGCCACACAAGAGCACCGTCCCCACATATGCGCACAACAGCAGTGTTAATGGGAGATTAGCACTATGTTGATGGGAAAAATTAGGCAGAGAGATTAGGGGGATTAGCAAGTTAATATCATATCTATGTGTAACACAAGCTGCGGCGCTGTCAACTGCGCTGTGAGAGGCAAGCGCGTCCACGCAAGAGAACCACCTGCAACGGTGGTCATGCCAGTGAGACACACAGCCCATCACACAGCCAGAACCATCAATACATCGAGGCTAAGGGAGCAGAGGTGGCCATGTTAGTGAGACTCCAGCCCGTTAATGCAGAGGCACCTAACAGGGCAATGCAACTCAGAGAGTTGGAGATAACAGCCAAACGGCAGGGAAGAATGGAAGCACCACAGCAAGTTACGACTTTGCTTGGTTAATAACGTCCTTCCAATGATTGCTCAGCTTATACCCATCTTCTCGGTTGAAATTGTTGCTGTGTTTATATATCTGGATGGCTTCATGGACAAATCTTCAGACGGAATGTCCCAACGAGCCATCAGGCCTCTTCTCGATCAAAACATCCAGGAATGGTAGCTTGCCATAATGTTCTACTTCCATGGTGAATTTGATGGATGGGTGTATAGAATTGATGTCGTTGAAACATTGGTTCAGTGCTGGCTGGCAATGTGGCCAGATGATGAAAGTGTCATCTATGTATCTCTTCCACAGGGAAGGACAATGGGTGGATGTCAGAATGGCATCTGTTTCAAATTTATCCATGAAAACATTCGCTACCACTGGTGATAAGGTAGAACCCATAGGGGTACCTTCATTTTGTTTGTAGAATGTACCATTCCAGATGCAGTAAGTGTTGGTAAGGCAGTGCCTCACCAAAGTTGGTACATCAGGATTCAGTCCCTGTTGGACCAAGTCTTTAATGATTGCTATGATGTCAGGTACAGGTGCCTTGGTGAACAGAGAGACTACATCGAAGTTGACAAGCAAATCATCTGGAGACAGTGAAATGTCTTTGATTAGAGAAACCAAGTGAGCTGAGTAAAGTACTGCTGAGGTGGTCTTGCCCGTGAATGGAAGCAGGGTCTCAGACAGAAATCGGGCCAGTTTGTAGGTAGATGAGTTGATGGTAGAAACGATAGGACTGAGTGGAGTACCTTCTTTATGGATTTTTGGAAGGCCATAAAATCTGGGTGGTCTAGCAACTGAAGGTTTTAGAGAGAGCTGCTTGGTCGGTTCGAATGGAGAAGTCGAATTAATGATGATATTGTTGTTTTTTGTAGCCAGGTGGTTGGTAGGATCTTTGTTAATTTTGGTATAACTGCCATCATTAAGAAGGTCCTGGATTTTGTTGTTGTATGTGGTTTTATCCATGATGACCGTGGCATTGCCCTTGTCGGCTGAAAGGATGACAATGCCATCTCTCTTTTTCAAATGAGCGAGTTCAGAGCACTCGTCCCTGCTGATGTTGCTAATGGGTTTCTTTGAGTTTTTGAGGATGGCGACGATTTTAGATCTTGCCACGTCTGCTGGGATGTAACCCAAACATCTAACTTTTTAACGTGTGGATCTGGCTTCTTTTTTGACAGGATGTTGAATTTAGCAATTAGGTTAACTTTACATGTGGTTGACATTGTCGCGGCAGAAGAAATAGTCATGTTATCTACAAGGTCCCAATCAGATGTGTGCATTTTATCTGTTAATGTTTAGTGTGATTGTAAGAGAAATTTGTCTAAATTATCAAGTTCAAAACGGAGCAGTCCTGAAAATTATCATTCACTTTTTCCATGGTCATTAATAAAATCCAACCTATGAAGTGCATGTCTTCATCACAAAAGAGATAACGAATCACAATTGATTCTCATCTTGATGAATAAGCATTTAATTAAGTATATAAATATTCATTTA